TTGTCTATTGAACATCTTTAGCCACTATGCCCTCCCAGCTCCACACATAGCCTCTGTACCTAGTTAGTTCTGATGCCTGAGCTGTTTGCTACAACAACTACATGCATGCTCCATATCAGAAGATTTTTGAAGGACACCCACCTATTGAGTAGCATTTTGTTCAACAAATTGCAAGATATGAATTCTTAAACTTTCTGTCTCAAGCGTCCTCAGCAGCACACCAAACACTATTCTACATTTTTCAGTTTACCTTTTTTCTTTTTGGGGGCACATGTTTAAACTGTTGCATGCTCATCCTGATTCATCTGCTTTGAAAGCTCCTCTCAGTGCTGCATTTGATGATTAAAGAAAACTACAAGCATACATTATGACGAACCCTTGAAGCTGAGCAAGCATTTAAAGATCCTAACCTGGCTTTGAAATGTCAGGTTAGGACATTATGACCAGACTCAGACATTTGTTCAAACAGGCAACAAGAAGAATCTGTTCTCGTGGAATCAACGTGCACCTCTCAAGAGAAACTAACAATGGTGCTGATTTTATTCTTCTTGTTCTACATTCCTGCTCCCTCATTCTAGTCCGGCACAAACTTTTAATTTCTTCACATATTGGCTTAATTTCATCACAACAAGCCTAATGTTACTATGAAGCACGGCAGTGTTTTTAACTCTGCTACTCGTCTGGAATCACAAAGAAACACAACAAGATAAACTACAGGATTGCATTTCCTGCGAAAATGCAGTGTGTGAATGCTTACTGCAGAAAAACTTGCTGAAAAACAGCTAAAATTAGCTACAAAAACATTCTGAAATGTAGCTGAAATGGAAGAACAAGCCTAAATTAGCAGACAAAAGCAGAAAGAACACATATTTGCTGAAATAGGTTTAAATAATCAGAAATGAGCACCAAATTTAAGAAATTAGCTAAACAAAGATGAAATTAGCAAAAGAAGAAATAGCTGAAAAGGAGCTGAAAATAAGCTTAAACTACCAGATGGAAGCGAGAAGAGCTGAAATGGGCACAGAAAATGTGGAATTAGCTGAAAAAGCTAAAATTAGCATCACAAGAGCTAAATAGTAGCTGAAAAAGTATAACAAGTTGAAATTAATTAGGCTGAAAGTAGCGGAAATTAACATGAAAATGTTAAATGTATATGAAAACAGCTGAAATTAGCTAAAAAAAATGCTAAAAAGCTAGCTGAAAAGTCAGGAAAAGCTTAAATTAACAGAAGAAAGTAGAAAGAACATGTTTGCCCAGTTATGGTGAAAGATGCAGAAATAAGCACAAAACAGTGGAAATTATCTGAAGAATGTTGAAATTAGCAAAAAATAAAAAAAACTGCTGAAAAGTAGCTGAAAGTAGCTGAAAAAAGTTTAAATGTGCACAAAGAAGCTGAAAGAAGCTGAAGCAGAACAAAATGTGAAAGGAGCAGTAAAAGGTTGTAAACAGATCTAAAGATATGAAGGATGTGAAATGAGCTCAGTTCATTTTCAATGAGGGAAAAAAATGGCAGAAAAGACTAAATATTTCAAACAGCTAAAGCTGTACCCAACCCAAAAGTCATAGCACCCTTCTCCTGAAAGAGCTGAACATCTTGATATAAGAGTTGTTGAAATAGCACAACAATTGTGGAACGAGAAAGATGCTGAAAAACGTACAGAAGAAAAATGGATCACAGTAGAGTGAACACTTCATAAACATTCACACAATTAGGAAGGTAAGACTGAAACAATATATTATCAAATTATCTGTTTGTTTTTCTTCACAAAATGGCCTAATACACCTTTATATAAGCCATGCAGTCATTTCAGCCAATGTCCAAGGGAAGCCAGGGACTGCAGGCCGATGATTCAGTTTGTCCGTAATGATATTGTTTCTATAAACAGTGATATGACAGCCGGTCATGTCAGAGAACAGTGCTTCTGATCACAGACTACTCACTGCTTACGTCCTACATCATAAACAACAAAGTATTTGTGCTCCAAACAGCTGCTGCGTACACTCTTCTTATTGTTGCTTAAATCTTCCTTTAAATGCCACTGAGGAAATTAAGTTTGAGGAGCGCAAACAAATATTCAGGCCACAAGTCTGAAGCTGAATTCAAAGCACCTTGGCGGAGCTTGTCCCCTCTGGAGCCCCACAACTCCTTATTGATACTCAGCACCACGTTTTGTTTGAAACTCAATACCCAGCGGGCCACCGTGGTAACGACACGGAGTTTATAACAGGTCATGTCTCCCCCAACCATTTCCATCATCTCCCTCAGCCGAATAAAGCAGCCGAAGGTGCAATAACAAGACACCAAGCAGACTCGTCCACCTGCTCTGCTCCCCGTGTGCCTCGCTCTGTGTCTTTCTGCGACTGCCTCTCACTCGAGACGTTATTTGCCTCGACAAGCTGCTGACACTGAAACTGAAGCCTGACATGAAGACATCTCTCCAAGCTTCGCCCTCGGGGGGGTTGAAGAGACCCGCTGCACTCTGACCACCTGTAACCCGACGCTGTAGATGTTAGGCAGACCATCTAATCTAGACTAAATATAAAACCTCACGTCTGTGACACGGGTGCAAAAAGGGAACTTGAGATTCTAACTTGGGGGGGTTAATCTCAACCTGTTAAAGCTTTGATTTCTATAAGATTAGTGTTCATTTGCGTTTTGAGGCTTGTGCTGTTTAACGTTTAGGGAAACTCTGTAAGGAACTGAATAATCTTTAGAGACTATAATTTACCTCCACTTACTGTAGTTAAAAATCCCATTCTTGGACTGAAGCCAAACAGAGAGGGATGAGCTCATAACCAACAATTACAACCTAAAAATTGCCAAACATGTAACTGGACTAATATTCCATCTTCTCTTGCACAGTTCAGGATGGTGATCAGTGAATAAATGAAGATAAACGCAGACTGACAAAAACCAAAGGAGAGAGGATGAGTTTTGGCGAAATATTTCTCTTATTACTTCATCTCAATCAAAAATCTTATTTGAGCATCTGAACCAACTCACTGTCACTCAGTTAGAACTTTTTTCTAGAAATTAAATTGTGTTTCCAAGAGTCTAGCATTGAAAAATGAACTCACAAATCAGAATGACAATTTGAGACTTTGATAAAAAGCTGTATTGATTTATGCATTTTTATTGTACCGTATTGAATAAAACATCACTTTGAACAGTGTTCAAGAAGAAGCGGTCCTAACACTGAAGCGAGTACACTTTTACTTATAAACACCCGAGGTGTTATTCAATATCTGACATGGCCACCGTGCAGATCTAAACATAGCACCGTATCAAAATAAATACCGTGAGGTTACAAAATCCTGTTGGTCTTTATGGATGAAATAAGAAAAACTGCTACAACTTTAAAATCTACATTCTCTCTCTCTACATTAAAAAAAACATGTTATTTGTTTTGAACTAATTGGTATTTTTATTGTGTTTAGAGCTACAACTTTTAGATTCAGCCATATTCTAAACACCCCAACAGCTAATTGTCCTAAAAAAAACATAGAACGGCTGTAACTCAATCAAGTTTACAAACATTGAACTTAAATTTTCTGTGGTAGTAGCCGAGAGTCATCCCCAACACATACTCTGAGCCACATGTGTCAAACTCAAGGTCCGGGGGCCAAATGTGGCCCTCGTTGATGTCTTATCTGGCCCAAAAAGTGTTATTTTAAATGTAAAATACTTTTATCACTTTAATTTTTTTCAGTAATCTTGTGTGACTAACTTGTCACACAAGGTCTTTGTTTAAAACTTTGCCATTAACCTTGGTGTCTATCAGCAAAATATCTCATAAATGATTAGACCAGGTTTATTCAACTGGTGGCCCGGGGGGCCAAATCAGGCCTATGGATTAACTCAGTTCGGCCCACCAATGGGTTCATTTTAAATAAAACTAGATTTTAAACCATAAAACAAACTTACTTAATGACAATAACCGCTGGATGTCTGACCCCTGAGCTCTTGGCTTTCAGTAACTGTGGCCCCCTGAGCAATTTATTTGAATAGCTCTGGACTAATCATAATAAAACTTTCAGTGGAGAATCATTAGAAGTACTGATTATTTATTTTTTATTTACCCTTTATTTATCCAGGTAGTCTCATTGAGTCACGAGAACTCATTTTCAAGAGAGACCTGTTTAGGGAGCAGATGGTGGGAGTTAAGGGTCTTGCTCAGGGGCCCAGATTGGGGCGAATGAGGGTGGAGGGAGGTGTGGGTGTTCCACCTTTTCCACCCACATTTTGATGTTGACGGTACCGGGAGTTGAACTTGCGACTTTCCGATCACAGGCCCATCTTCTAACCTCTGCGCCACCACTCCCTCATTTGAATTATTAGATTAGATATATATGATTGGGATTTGGAGTGAACTCAATTCAACACGGACCTTATTAAAATAAAAAAGGCTACAACTCATCTGGTGGCTGCAATAAAATATCTATAAATGCTCGTGCGGGATTAATATAATATGAGCTGTGATGCCAAAAGGTTTCAGAACTGTTTTAAGTTATTTAAACATTAAATATGTAATGAAGTAATTCTACACAACTATATTAGTTTTAACTGGAAAAAAAGAAAGCCTTGCATCAGTTAGTGCGTGCAGTGGGCAAACTGGTTCATTACATCTGGTTACATTCCACCAGACAGCTGATGTTCACCATGAAGCTTCGTGGTTGCTCTTTATTGTGTGATGATCCTGCACCTCTCTGACAACCATCAGGATGCTGGCGCACGCGCTGACTCACGCGCAGCGGCCAAAATATGTGCAACCATAACCCTGTTATAAAAGAAGCTGCCAAACGAGTACGTTTAAACACATAAAGGCTGCGAGCGGCGGCGTTAATCTGCCCCTGTCCACCATTTTATCAATGAGCGGCTCGATGATGCAGCGACCGTCAACAAAAACAGCAGCGGCTTCACCCGCGGAGCCGTGCACGCGCCGCCGCCATCGTTCTGTGCGCGGGGCGGCTGTTCGAAAGCAAAGCAGGAGCACACCTACCCAGAACACGAAGGAATAAACGATGAGGAGCGTTTTAAGGCAGGTGATGACCGGTTTGGTCTCCATTGTGGACCTCAGTTCGAGCCGATGTGGTGATAATGGGGAGCGGACAGAAACAGCACAAACGTCTGAATGCGTCGCGGAGCGGTGCTGCGCCGTGCACGGATGCTGCCGCGAGGCGTCGCTGTTGGACAGCAAGTCAAAAACAAACAAAACAACAACTCAACACCTACTGAGAACTGGAGCTTTGGTAAAGACAAATAAACTAATTGCATGTAGTAGAAAAGTAAAGCTTCATCTAAAGCACTGTGGATCATGACATCATGTGTCATAAGCTCTCAGAAATTGATTTCTCAGATCACACCATTGGTTGGTTCTCTATCGCTCAGGTGGGAGGCAATGTGTTCAACATAATACTTTTTCCAGCTATCTAGCTGTTAACAAAGGTGTACAACAAGGCGCAGTCTTAGGACCCACCCTCTTTATATTCTACATAAGTAAGTAGGTCAGATCATTCCTGACACATCTTTGCATCTCTGTGCTGAGGAAATAGTTGTTTATTGTCGAGTTAGTACAGTTGCTAAGGTTTTTCAGCTTTTACAGTCTGCATTCGACATCATCTACTCGGATATGTTCCGTCTCAAGCTTGTGCAAAATGCTGATAAAACCAAAGGGATGCTGTTTTCAAACAGGAAGTCGTCCAGTTCTTCTTATTTTCGAATGGTGTGCCTATTGAGTTTGTCAATTCTTAAATACTTGGGTATTTTGGTTGATTCGCATCTCTCTTTTAAGCCTCATGTTGAAAATTTGGTAAAGAAACTGAAAGTTAAACTGGGTTTCATTTTTCAAAAATAGATCTTGTCTAAGTCTGAATGCTAGGAAATGTTTTGTAACTGTGACTTTCCTTCCCTCCATTGATTACAGTGACATTATTTACATGAACGCTCCTACAAGAACCCTGAAGATGTTGAACTCTGTCTATCATGGTGCACTAAGATTCTGGCTATAACTACTACAATCACTGCACTCTGTATTAGTAGAAGTAGGAGAAGGCCCTTTTGCCAAGTTCAGTCCTCACTGAGGGAACACTGCAGGTAATAATGTCCCGAGAGCGCACGCTGTAGCTGCACTCACGCAGAGACATGTAGGAGGAGATGTATGAAGGCAGCAGACCAAGAAGTGATTTAAAGATGAAAATGTACCAGTGAGAGAGTCTGCGTGAAGTTAATGATGTCCAGTTAACCAGTGAATACAGGGTGCAATGCTGGGTACGATAATTACAAACAGTTATGAATCTTAGTGCACCATGATAGACAGCATCCAACATCTGCAGGGTTCTTGTAGGAGCGTTCATGTAAATAATGTCACCGTAATCAATGGAGGGAAGGAAAGTCACAGATACAAGGCGTTTTCTAGCATTCAAAGTTAGACAGGATCTGTTTCTGAAAAAGAAACCCAGTTTAACTTTCAATTTCCTTACTAGGTTTTCCACGTGGAGCTTAAAAGAGATGCATGAGTCAACCAAGATACCCAAATATTTATAGGAATCAACAAACTCAATGGGGACACCATTTCAGGATGAAATCAGAGGAAGAGCTGCTGGGACCAACTTCCTATTTGAAAAAAAAAGCATCTCTTTGGTTTTGTCTGCATTTAGGACAAGTTTGAGGTGAACAAATCTGACTGGATGATGTCAAATGCAGATTGCAAAAGCTGGAAAGCCTTATCAACTGTTTTAGCTCGACAATAAACAACTGTGTCATCAGCATAGAAATGTATGGATGCATCAGGGATGTTTTTACCTACATTACCTATGTAGATTGTAAAGAGGGTGGGTCCTAAGACTGAGCCTTGTGGTACACCATTGTTGACTGTTAAATAACTGGAGGAAGTACCATTATGTTGAACACATTGCCTCCAGTCTGAGAGATAGTTAGAGAACCAACCAATGGTGTGATCTGAGAAACCGATTTCTGAGAGTTTATGACACAAGATGTTTTGATCCACAGTGTCAAAAGCTTTAGACAGGTCTAAGAAAAGTGCAGCACAATAATCCTTAGCATCCAGTGCTTCAACAATGTCATTAAGAACCTTCAGTGAAGCAGTGGTTGTGCTGCGTTGTTTCCTGAAACCAGATTGATGTGGAGGTAAGATGTTAAATGAGTCCAGGTAATATAATATGTAATATTATATCCATAATATAATATGCTTATTAAATAGCATGAACAAAATCTAAGATAGCTGCAGACGATAAGCTGTATAACAAAGCTCTTATTAAAACACACACATGCAAATAACAAGATATTACTGTATTAATGAAGGTTTTGTGGTTGTTTTGAAATTTGAAATAATGGTCGTCATCAAAAGAGCTTCTTGACAGATTGACAAAACAGGAGAACAGCATCTGAAGGCAGAAGTGTTGTCCTGGCCCCAGCCCACACGTGTCTGTACACCAGGCTCAAAACAACCAATGAGGAAGTTGCAAAGGTCAGAAACCTGAAGCACTTCATGAACCTACATGATAAATGGAGTTTAAAGTACAGCATTGCACTGTGAGTCAGGGAAGGGGCTTCTTTACAGAGGAAAATGTTTAATAGCACAAGTGATGAATATTTCACACAAGCCTTCACTGGATGTTGCTCCTCGTCACACGTACAGGTGATTGTCTGTAGGTGGAGATACTTATAAAGATTTTAGAAAATACAAAGGGTCTTATTCTGTTGAGAGGAGGGGCCAGTATACTGGAGAAAAACACAGGAAAAGGATGGACAAAATTAAAAAGATGACACAAGGACATTTTAAGGTTATTCAGACATGTTAGTGAGGCCTCTGCAGCCTTCATGGCTCCTTCTTTTTAACACGCTCCATTTTACTTGTGTTACTATGGCTCTACCTGCTAAATAGCCTGAATATTACAAAATAAACAATGTAATGACAAATATTTAATTTATTGTGCTGTGGATTATTGCATTGTTGGACACCAGGAGATTATCTCTGTAAAAATGCTGCTGTTCTGAAAGTTTGTCTTACAGTCCATATTCATTTATTAATTTCAAGAGTTTTTAAACAGGAATCTGAATAAATTATACAAATGATACCTTTTGTGCAAAACCTAGAAAGCTGTAATTAAAAATGAAAACTAGTATCCACTGAAGGAATGCATATCGCTTGCCATCTTGCTGCAAGTTTCAACCAAAGAGCAACAAAGTGATATTAAGTTATTAACAAGGTATGGAAATAAAACAAACTAGACGAAGAAGCTGTTTTGGTATCGACATGTTAATATCCTTGAAGACCACATTACATAATGCTGCCTTCATCCTGCACGATATAAAGGAGCGTTAATCCACGTGACACTCCACACCTAATATGTTGTTCAACATCAAACGGCTGAATATTGTTCAGGTTTTGAAGCAACATTAAGATGGCCACTATTTTCAGGGAAGGCCTCAGAAGAAGAAACACCAACATCTAATTCCTATATTATTAATATATACAATTATTAGAGGTACGTTTTACATGTAGATGTGCAATTTATATAGAAAACCATTGAAATCAGTCTGTTAAATGGAAACTTTTCTGTCTGATATCAGGCTGCAAAACAGCACAGCTAAGTTTCAAGAGTCCAGGTGATCAGGTTACTTCCCTTTCGTACCAGTCAGCTTGTTTCATTATTTATTTGACACATTAGAATAAACACATAAGAACACCGAAGGCTTTGTGTAATACTGTAACTAGAAAAGCTGCATTTATTGCAAAAAAGCAGTTTGAGTGACGAATAAATACTAAAATTTGTGAAGAATGAATTGTTAAAACTAAAACAAATGACAACAAAAAAAAAGTTTAATCAGCAATAGCGCCTAAGAGGTTAAATCAACTAAAGTAAAAATGAGCAAAACAAAAGCTGAAAGCAAAATATATTTTAAAAAAGTAGTTAAAATATAAATGTGGCAAAACCATAGCAAGATGTTAAATGAAACAATAACTCAAAGCTAAATTGAACAAAACAGCTAAAACCTAAATCAGATTAAAAACTACAATTAGCAAACCACTAGCTAAAAGCTAACGAACAGCAACTAAAAAGCTACAATTAGCAAAAACTGAAGCTAAAATCTAAAATTAGCAAGACGGTAGCTACAAGGAGCATAAGAAATCAAAAATAGTGCAGATGTTTTTAAATTGATTTATTCTTGAAGAACTGAAAAGATCTCCATGTTTCACAATGGTTAAAATTTATGCCAACAAAGTAGAATACCCTGATACATGCTCAATGAAAGTAGAATACCGTATGTTTTTTTGCATCGGTTTGTCAATCCTGCAACTTAGGATCCTGCAACTTATCTGCCGAAGCGACTTACATACGTTTTTTTTTTCCATATTCATAACTCATTTTTTGACTAATGTTTTAAATTTCTAAGAACTGCAACAGCGAGTCCTCCTGTGCACGCTCGCTTCACTCAGCTGGTACAGGTGGAGGAACGCTGGGGAGCTAGCGGCTCCGGCCACGATGGATGGTGCCGTGCCGCCCAGTTGAAATGAAGCTGTTCTGACCATTAAATAAACGCATAATAAATGCTATGGGTCAGCAGTGACGCATAATAAATGCAACTTATACGCCAAAGCAACAGTTTTTTTTCACTTCATTATGCATTTTTTGACTGATGCGACTTATAAACCAGAAAATACGGTATATCAAAAGGTATAAAAACTAAATATTTAAGGTCATGACACATTATACCCAATTGAGTGAAACATTTTCATGTATGGTTAAAATAAAAGTAGTCTGACTGCAAAAATCTTGTGAAAGAAACTAAACAGGAAAACAAATATGTAAATGCTGACTCAGCATTTACAAAATACTGTGTATCAAAGAGCTTTTAAATGTTTGATTCTCAAACGTTGCTCTGTTAAAGGTAGAGATGGTGCAGGCTGGCCTTAAAGATGCTCACGTCTCAACTGTTGTCCAACATGCTGCACGTTAGCGCTTCTTTCTGCTTCATCGTGTGTTCTTTAAATTGTTCAAAGGTTTTGTGAAATAACACGAGCGTGGTTTGAGTCAAGTTTTATTTATTCCAAAACAAACAAATCCACAGGTCCTCAGCTACATTCTTTATGGCCTGGCTACATTTATTTGTCCCAACAGATTTAAAACGGAACAGAAATAAAAAACTAAATACATATTCAGTCAGAACAAAACAGACAATAGTGATAAAATTCAAGTGTTTAGTCAGTTAATACAGAAATTTATCAAGAAAAAACAAACATTTAAAGTGCTAAAATGTCCTTTTGTAAAAACATTTGTTAATGAGTCAAAGGGACAATTCACATAATGGTAACTCTTAAATACCTTCATCAGAAAATCATTCGCTGTTCCTTTTTTTTTTTTTAAATCAACGTAACTGCAAAGTTAAATGTGTTTTTTTGTGGGTTTAGACCAGTGGTTCCCAACTGTGGTCCTTGAGGAACGCCATCCTTCATGTTTTAGTTATTCCCTGCTCCAACACACCTGATTCGTTGATTACTCCCCCAAGTTTAGTCAAAGCCTGTTAAGCACCCATTCATTCAAATCAGGTGTGCCAAAGCAGGGAAACAAGTAAAACATACAGGATGGTGTTCCTCAAGGACCAGGGTTGGGAACCACTGGTTTAGACCTTTTAAACAATTTAAAAGTAAAAGTCACGCCAACAGCTGCCTATAGTCCTTAACGTAAACTTTCATCAGTGTAATATGTCGTCTGTTCTGATGGCATATCCTTTTATTATAACAAATATTTCTGAATCATTTCAGAACTCAAAACTACTAAACTGTGCCAATTTCTTACAGCAGGATCTGAAGCTCAGTGACGTATACATGTTCTTTTTTTTCTCTTAAGAGTCAAAATAAAAAAATAAAAAAAAACCTGAAATAAAAAAACAAATTTTTAAAATTAAAGCATCACAAAAGTCATTAAGTGCAGTCCAGAAACACTACTAAAGCAAGTCATTTATTTTACTGCTTTCTTAGATTAGATTAGATGGAACTTTATTGATAATTTAGGAAGATTCCTTAAGGGAAGTTAAAATTTGGAAAAAATATCAAAGAAAGCAGAGTGTTTGAACGTGGAGGTCTGAGTATTCTGTTACTTTACAATAAACGTTTGCTGTACCTGAGATGTTCAACTCGTTATCCTTCAGATCATCATCAGCTGGATGATTGACAGCTCTGCTCATACACTGGGGTTAACGAGGGAATGTTAAAAACAGGAATGGAGAGTTTTTGAAGGCACCAGTCTTCTGGTCCCTGATGCGCTGCCTGACTCACATAGTGGAGTTCTCCCATCACACCTCCTGCTCAAAGCGGTCAAAGTTTCGAAGCGGTCACTCCTCTTTTTAAGCCTCTGCTCCCTCTGAGTCCATGCACGCCCTTTATACAGACCCAAACTCAGCCATCCAGGCTTCGTATTTCTCCAGATCTGCAGCAGAGACAGACTTGGAGATCTTCTTCAGGGTCAGAGTGAAGTCCTCCATGGTCACGGGCATCTGAAGCTCATCCTTGGACAGAGCTCGAATCTCCTCTGGACTCAGACCTTGGATCCGCCGACGCATTGCCATCATGGAAGCATCTCTGATGCAGAAGAGATGCAGGAGGAGTGTTAGCCATCATCGCTCTTACAGCAAAGCATTTCTGCCATTTTGAATACTCCATCTGAAAAGTTAAATTTCTCTGGAAAAACTGAAGCTGCTGATATGATGAAATCCTGCTGGCTAAAGTTTGTGGATGAACTTCTCAAAAGACTGAGTCAGAAATAAGCTGACTGAAAACCAAAGTTCCTGCTTTTCTCCACATGACTGGAGTAAGAAAAGGACAAAACTACTGAAAATGACTGCAACACAATGTGTCCAATACAATGCTACTCATCAGTCAGTCTTGTACATAAACAGCAATTTATAACCAATAAGACAGCTGTGCATCAATACTTAGTACAAAGGATCACCCTGAATATGAAGAATGCAAATGCAATCTTCTAATCAGAAAATGGATTAATTTATATAGTTCAAATTACAGCAGCTAAATAGTTCTTTTGCATTAAGAGACATTTTAGGGGGTTCTTAGATGATTAGGAAGTAAAATTCATGTAATTTAGAAAAAAACCTGGAAAACCAACTCCTTCGGTTTGTCTCAGAATGTGTTTAATACAATTTTAAGTTCACTGTGCTGCATTAAATGGTACAATTAGGTTTAGGTTTCCAGTTTCAGAGAAAAATAATGGAAAAAAAAAACCAGCTGATCTGAATGTAGATATTTTTAATTTTTAAACATGCTATTGCAGCAATAACAGCCTTCTGCTTTACATCATGCTCAGCTCAAGTTTAGTTGGCTATTTTTGGGTGTAACTGGGACCTTGAGTACACAGTTTCATTCCACCTCTTGTACCACATGGAATGTGAATGACAATAAAGAACCTTGAACTTCTTATGCAGCGTCAAGGCCACCTTAACTTTTTCACAACACTCGAGTTGTGAAGTTATTAAAAACAGATTGATGTTGCTGAGGTGTGTTGGTTATTTTGTGGCCATGCACTTGTGCACTTTCTGATGTGGTAAAATATTTTAAAACTTAATAATTTACATGTGCAAAGATCTGACTGAATGTGTACATTCTGAACATGTTATTTTAAACGGTGAGGCAAACGAGCACATTCAGGATCCTGAAGCTGAAAATGATGCAGTGCAGAGATGTTGTCTGTGCAAACTGGAGCACGGAGATGGAGACAACTCTCACTGCAGCAGAAGCAGTCTGATGCCTTTGACTGAGTCTGCATCCTGAGAGACGTTAGACGAGCTGCAACAGGTTTTCTGAAGTCATAACATCCCTGATCAGATGTATGAAAGCTCAATACGGTCTTCAGATTGGTATTGGAAATTTTAAAAAGTACACATTAAATATGTGTGTGCAGGTCTGCAGGTGGACTGCGGGCTGCAACACCTTGATTATTTCATTTTTTACTAATAAATAAACATTTAAGCAAATATAATTAATGTACAGTAGTCCCTGGTTTATCGCGGAGGATCCGTACCCTGAAGTCCTGCGATAAGTGAAAAACTGCCAAGTAGGAATAGTAGTACAAGTAGTAAATAGTAATATATTTTAATATCTAATAATAAAAATAATAGTGTTATGTATTGTCATCATTGTATGCTCTCATACAATGGGAAAATTGGCTCTTGGCATTTAACTCATCCACCACCAAGTGGTGCAGTGGGCAGCTATTGAGGGTGCCCAGGGAGCATTTGGGGATAGTGTGTCCTGCTCAGAGACACCATGAGATGTGCAATGACTGGGGATCGAGACTGGGCTTGTTTCTAAACTCTAAACGCTTTGAAAGAGCACAGAATGTCATGATTTCAGCTCCCTGACTCCTCAGCTCTTTGCCACCTGCAAGCGCTCTTGGCCACGCCCACTTCTCCGCTCTGCACGCTGAACATCTGATCAGCTGTTTAACTGCAGCAGGAAGTTTATCCTGCAGTATGCACAAAGGTGCAGCAGGTGCTAAATAATTCAAAATAATTCATTTAAATAAAATTTCACGCCGATTGTGCAGCTCCAGTGGTTAATTTGAACCGGATCCTGCTGGAACAAGATCCGAGAACTCCCTCATTTTCACCGTGTGCGTTCCGGCAACTGTTCGCTCGGATCCAACAGCTCATATCTCCGCCCATAAAAGTCCAAAGTCATTGCGCATTTTTATTTTGATTATTTATTAAAAATCCAACGAGAGGAGACGTTGTCCATGTCTGTGGTGTGGATGTTACTGCTGCAGCAGGCGCACACGCTGCTGCCAGCAGATACGCTGACCGCGTGTCCCGCGGGGATGAAGCGTCTTCATCCACCTTAAGCTGTGTCTCAGAAACCAAAGCAGCACAAACAAACATTTTAACGGCACAAACGTAGCACTAACCGCTCGTATTTACTGGAATTTTTGACGTGGGTGGGGTGTCAGCTTCACCTCGATCAGCTGTGCACCCTGGAGACAGTGCACGTTTTACACACAGGAGCGTCTCCAGACAGCTCTGCAGAGCACACACAACTGCTCATGTGTCAGAACTCCTGTATACATTTCAAAGATACAGGTTTTTTTTTGTGTGTGTGTGTGTGTGTGTGGGGGGGGGGGTTAGGACACTTGATAGAATCGGAGCTGCTCTATTCACTGCTCTCTAAAATAGTAATTTCAATTCAACCTTTATTTATACAGGTTGTTAGTCTCATTGAGCCTAGTCATTTACAAGAGAGACCTGTTTTTAATCAGTTTAATCAAATGTTTACAGATGTTTAAACATCTGCTAAAATACTCCAAAATGCAGGAAATGGCATTTATTTTATTCCAAATTTTCTGGGGGAGGACCCATGGCCATCAACCATTTGTGTGTCATATCAAATCTTATTTTGAAAAACCGCGATAGAGCGAGTCCGTGATAAATGAACACCAAGTAGCGAGGGACTACTGTATAGTTATTTAACCCCCCCCCCCCCTTTTTTTTAAAGCATCATACAGCATTTTATATTCATCTTATCTGACTGCTTGAGCTGAAGGATAATCTTTTTGTAGCAGAATTATTCCAGCACTGTGGAAAAGTCTTAAACCACAATTTTCTACGTAGAGTCTGGAGAGAAGAAAAAAGGTGCAAACATGATTGAAACACAAAAAGAACTGGTTCATTGCTTCAGGTTTCTTTTAAACTTGAGAGTCATATTTCAGCAATAGGTGGCTGATCAAACATCTGACAGAAAGTGACTGAATGTCAGCTCGTATGTAGACAAAAATTTTAGAAAGACCTTTAAGAATCCTGAAAAACAATGGGTCAGAACCACTTTAAAAGATTACAGGAAAGTATGGCTCATTGGAATAAGAATTAAAAAAGGGCTGGATCAAGACTTTTGAGCAGTACTGTACAGAAAAAAATGCAAATAGAAATCATCCACATTTTTCTGTTAATCCTAAAAATGTATTTCAATCCAGTCAGTAGAGTTGAAGCATTTTTATTTTTGAAATTTCTGACTTCCTGTACCACTGATACCCGTCAGCCATAAAAAATATAATTTAAGCTTAATTTGATTTTGCGAGTGCTCTTTCATAAAACGGTTCATGATTAGATGAAAGTTGAAACATATTTTTAGATGGACAGAAACTGATCCAACAGGAGCATTTTTCCAAAATTAATTAAAAGAAAAAAGAAAAATGAGGTTGAGGCATTACTCTAGATGTCAACATAACACAGACGTTTAGTATATGCGTGCACACAAACCTGCAGACGTTGGTGATGTCTGCCCCCGAGTACCCCTCAATCTTGTCAGCTATGAGGTCCAGGTCTACGTCAGAAGCCAACTCCACCTCCCTTAGGTTGATCTTTAGGAGCTCTACACGCCCCACAGCTACACAAACAAACCTCTCATTAGATATAAGTGTGATTGAATCAGAAAAGTCAACAAAGCACAAGTCCAGAGTTTGAATCCACATTAAGGTGTGTGTTGGTGTGTTTTCAGCGTGTGCTGTTAGCCTGTGATGTGCAACCTGTGGGGAGGGGGATGTAGATCCTCTTCTCCAGGCGTCGTCGCAACGCCTCGTCGATGTCCCAGGGGAAGTTTGTAGCAGCGAGGACCATCACCATTTTAGACGGGTCATCGTTCTCCAGGGCGCCCCCCACACCTGAAAACCAATCAGAACTCTAGTTAAACTAGAAAACACATATAAGCTAGAATTTATCTGAGGCATTATTTTACCTTGGGTTAATTATGCTTCTCTCTACATGCCGATCATTTATTTATTTTAACTTTTAGTCTTAAATTGAGACATTAAATTCCTCTCTTGGATGAACCCCTTAGCAGCCTGGACACACTACACCTTATGATCTACTAACCATCCATCTGAATCAGAAGTTCTGATTTGACACGACGGCTGGCTTCGTGTTCATCGGACGTCCCTCGTCTGCCACAAATAGAGTCAATTTCGTCTATGAAGATGGTTGTTGGAGCGTAAAATCTAGCCTGGATTAAAGAAAGGCACTGAGTTTCCTTTTCTTCACACACAAACGCAATGAGCAGCGGTCCTACATGCAAAAACTAGGCCTGTCACGATCACAAAATTTGGTGGGCGATTAATTGTCTCAGAAATGATTGCGATAAACAATAATATTGTTTGAAATTTGACAATAATTAGTAATTATTGTCAAATTTAAGAATGTTTAATTTGTTTTGCAGGTAGTACCTTTTTTCGACCACCGGATGGCAGTACAAGATTTTTTGAACCAAAGGATAGATAGTGAGCGAACGAGCAGTGTGTCTTTTAAGAAAAATGGGAGGGAGGTCGCTTGACGCGACATGGGCTGTCTCTCTTCGGTTCTCAAAATGGCGGACGTTCAGTGTGGTTTGAGCTCTTTAGCATAGCATTTTTCACACAAAGCTTTTAATATAA